CCCCCTTCCCCGGGGCCGGGGTCCCCCCCAGCTTCCCCCTTGTGTCCCCCCCTTCCCCGGGGTCGGGGTCCCCTCTGCTTCCCTCTCATGTCCCCCCCCGGGCTGGTGTCCCCCTCTACCGCAGGGTTGGGACCCCCCAGGGCCCAGGCCAGGCCCTCTCTCTCCCTTTAACCCCAGCCCAGGGGTCCCCCTGTGTCCCCACAGCTGAGGGGCCCGGGTTGGCCTCCATTCCCACCCCCCTCACGCCTCTGCCCTCTCCGTGCAGCCTTCAGCGGGGCCAGCGAACGCACCTTCGTGGCCATCAAACCAGATGGGGTCCAGCGGCACCTGGTCGGGGAGATCATCCGGCGGTTTGAGAGGAAGGGGCTGCAGCTGGTGGGGCTCAAGCTCCTGCAGGTGGGTGGCCTGGCCAGGATGGGGGTCCTTGGTGCTCAGGGGCTCTGCTGGTGAATCCCGGGGGGGTTTCTGCTTGGGGACAGCCTGCTGTTGTCATCTGGGCACCAAATCCTCACGGGTTGGAGGGGGGTTGGCACCCAGGTGCCTAAACTGCTGCTGGAGGGGTGATTCCTGCTGTGGGGAGCATGGAAGCCCTTCGCTGTGTCCACGCTCAAGCGCTCCTCTGACTTAGAAACCTCTCCCCGCCATGGGGGCCGCTATAAAGACGCGTTCCCGTTTTCCAGAGGTGCTAGCCTGGGTCTGTCAGCCCCGGAGCTGGAGGGGTTGGTCCTTGGGGGAAAGTAACGAGAGATGGGCGAGGAGGACTGTAAATATGCTCCAGTGACTTGCACCTGGAGTGTTGGAAAACACATATATCGCACTAATTGTCGTTTAGTCTTATGTGCTCGACAAGAAGAACATTCACACTTAGATAACACAGGCCTGGGATGGACTCAGAGGCATCTTTTCAGACATGCCTGAAATTCCTGCCTCAGCAAAGGGAAGCAGTTTCACTCCTGGAAGCGAGCATCTGTGCGGGGGTTTAATTGTAACGCACACTGTGCGGCTTTAGCTCCATCTCTCAGGTGTAGACCTTGCCCAAATCTGCCCCCAACTACCTCCCTTGCTGGCAGCAGACTAAGCTTTGTGTTCTTTGTGCTCAGGCCTCGGAGGAGCTGCTGAAGGAGCACTACATCGCCCTTCGTGACCGCCCCTTCTACAGCCAGCTGGTGAAGTACATGAGCTCTGGGCCCGTGGTGGCCATGGTGAGTGCTGGCCAGGTTCTCCTGAGGAACAGAGGGTAAGCGCATCGGCTTGTGGTACGATGCAAACAAGGCGGCCTCTCTCTTCAGAGGGCCTCATGAAGCTGTACTGAACAGTTTGTGGGTAGATCAAACCCGCAGACAGTTCTGATTATTATCCAAAATCAACTTTTGAAGACTATGCACGGAGAGACCCTTTCCCATCTCTCATCCAGGTGGAGCAGGTGGGGAATTTAGAGGACAGACAATACAAGATGTGGAAGCTGATTGTTGTTTTGTTTTCCTGTAGGTCTGGCAGGGCCTGGATGTGGTCAAGACAGTTCGCACAATGATTGGGGAGACTAACCCAGCCAACTCCAGGCCTGGCACCATCCGAGGAGACTTCTGCGTTGAAGTCAGCAAGTGAGAGCTTTGGCTTCTTCTTCCCTTGGTATTTCCGTGCCCCCTGTCCCGGCATTCCTCTGCAAGGCCTGCCCGAGCCCTGGGAGTCTGCATCTTCAGAGCAGAGCTGCTCCCAGGGGTGCTCGGATCAGGGCTGTCTCCCTCCAAGAGCTTTCAGAGCAGCCCTGGCAGGAGGAGCTTGGCCAGAAGGGAAGAGCCTGGCTTTGTGTCCTTCCTGCCTCCTGAGTCCTCCTCCATTGAAAGCAGGTGGGCTTTGCTTGTCTTCTGCTCATGGCATCAGGACTCTCAGGCTGTGAAGGGGAAGAAGGAGCCCTCTCAGCCCTTTCCTTGGGGAGCAGGGCACCTGGAGAGCTGCTCCTCTGGGATCTGAGTCTGTCAGGAAAGCCAAGCAGGAGCTCTGCAGGCATGAGGGAGCAGTGAAGATCCACAGGCTGTGCCCTCAGGTGCCGCAGCCTGGCTTGTGGCAGACACAGCTTCTCTCAAGCCCTCCTGGATTAGGTTTCTGTTCCATGGATGTGGGAAACCTTATGGTTTGAGAAACCCATAACAATTTATTGTCGTTTAGACAATTATTCTTTCACCCACCTGAGAAGGGGGAACATGAGGGTTGAAATGAAAATACATTTAATAGGATAAGACTAAGGAATTATCAATAATACCGAAAACCCAATACTGATCCTGATCCTAATATAAAACACACAAGGATTATCCCCAGCCCATTCCATCAGCAGAAGCTGTGCACTCCTCCAGGGACAGCCAGTGTGGGACCCTGCGAGCGCTGCGGCTTCGGGAGGAAGGGGAGGGCTCAGGGCTGTGGCACCAGAACAAAGAGTTCTCTGGACCGTCACCATCAAGGGAGAGAGAGAGAACTCCTCAGCAAACTTCCTAATTTCTATTGAGTGTGATGTTCGTGGTATGAAATAATCCTGTTGGCAGCTTGGGTCAAGTGCCCGGGTCTCACTCCTCATCCCCACACCTGGCAAGGCTCGAAAGCACTGAGGCCTTGGATCCCACAGAGCCTGGCTGGCTATAAAGTGAATATCTTCACCAATTCAGACACTAGAGTCTTTGAAAAAGTGCCGTTTTCCCCAGCATTAGAAGAGAAGTTAGCACTGTGTCTCTCAAACCAGTACAGATTGTTGATCTTGTTCTTTTTCCCCCCAGGAACGTGATCCACGGCAGCGACTCGGTGGAGAGCGCCCGGCAGGAGATCTCCCTCTGGTTCCGCCCGGAGGAGCTGACCTGCTGGGAGAACACGGCCGAGCACTGGATCTACGCGTGAGCAGGAAGGGGAGCCCCAGGGGAAGTCCATCTTCCTGACTGGGCACGGGACGTTTCCATTCATTTCATTGCAGCCGCTGGGGCTGGATGTGGATCCTGCTGCGGCGTCGCGTGCTGGGGGGGTTTCTGTTCTGCGCGTGGGTGGAGGGGTCCCGGGAGCTGGTCTCTGCAACTCTCTGCTTCAGCTCCCACCAGCAGTAGCTGTTTCTTTTTCTTTTCTTTTTTTTCCCCCCCTTAATCTCTCTGCCATAGTAAGTAGTTGTATTGTTGCTTAGTTTGCTGCAGCACCTGAAATCCCAAGTAGCTCGAGGGGATTTATTGAAGTGAAAAGCGGGCCCTGTGCCCGGTCCTGGGTGTTCTCAGCCCTGCCTGGCACAGGAGAACGTGTGCTCCTCGCCGCTGGGAGAGGGGCTCTGGTCAGCACGAGGTGATGCCATGGAAAGAACCCACCTGCATTTCTGTAAGGTTTGTCACCAAAGGCTTTTAGATCATTCAGCTGCTACAGGATAAGGGGGAAAGTTTCCCCATTCCAAGATGAGGAATGAAGGACAGGAGGAACTGCTTGCTCTCCCTTGGTGGTGTGAAATGTGTTCACCTGATTGGTGCCAGCACCTTTAACCGTTCTGTTTGTCCTTGTATCACTGCTGTCCTAGGAGAAGCAGGACGATGTGTCTGTAGTTTCTATTTCTTGCAAAAACCCCCTAACGAACCCTGTTTGAGGCTAAATCATGTATCACAGTGGGGCATGAGGGAAAGTTGGCTGATGTT